TTTTTTTTTTTTTTTTTTTTTTTTTGTGAGATACAATCTCACAGTATAACCCAGGCTGGTCTGGAACTCACTGTGTAGCCAGGCTAGCAAAAAGCTTGTGGCAACCTATGTCAGGGCTGAGCATCCTTGCATCAGCACCATCCTGTTCAGTTCTCACAGCGTTCTAACACCCTCTACCTTCACTGCCCTTCTTTGCAACATCTCCTTGATTCCTTGATCTTTTTTTTTTTTTTTTTGCAACGAGGCTCCAGAGGAGGTTTATTGGAAGAGGAGAGAAGGGGCAGAGGAAAGGGCAGAGAGGGGGAAAGAGACCAGTCCCTGGAGTTGAGTGGCAGAAGAGAAAGAGAGAGGGAGAGAGGAAAAAAAGAAAAGATTCCTTGATCTTATTTGCCTCCCTGGTAAGCTTCAAATTTGCCTAGTGTTTAGGATTGGAATGACAGTACCGTGCAAACCTACAGTGATGTGTGTAAAACAGTCCACCTTCTCCTCAGGACCACAGTACTACCCCTCCTTTAGCTTCACTTATCTCTTTATTTTAAGGTGTAATCATATAAGATTGCCACTCTCCAACCTCTCTATCATATTCAAATAGCAACCAAATGTTTCAACTCTTAGGAAAAGATTTTCTCTTCAGAAGTTATTTTCCTCATAAAAATCTTTATATTCTTTCCAGAAAAGACACCTTTTTGCAGTGCTGAGGATGGACTCTCAGATCTTGTGCATGCTAGGTGACTGTGCTACCACTGAGTTACAGCTGGAAAGATACTTTTTAAAGCTTCAGAGGAGGGGCTGGAGAGTTGGCAGCCCCCTCTTTTTATCTCCTTGGGTTCCGAGCACCCACATGGCACACACACATATGTGCAGGCAAAGCAGCCGTACACACAAAACTATAAAATACACCACTTAAATTTTTTTTCTCAAGAGCTTGTAAGAAGCAGGAAGAAAGCATGGAAAGTATGGCCATGTCCTAAGGTTTTCCTCATTATTGAAAATCCTAGATTTAGGGCTAAGGATGAAATGCAGTGATGAAACACTTGCCTAATGTGTACAGAGTTCTGGAGTCAGTCTCCAGCAACACACACATGCAGAGGCTTTAGGAATTTCTCTCACAGGTGGTGGTGGCAATACGCGCCTTTACAGCACTCAAGGCGGAGCTCTGTGAGTTCAAAGCCAGCATGGTCTACAGAGTGAGTTCCAGGATAGCCAGGGTTACATAAAGAAACCCTGTTTCAAAAAAAAAAAAAAAAAAAAAAAAAAAAAAAGAGAGAGAGAGAGAGAGAGAGAGAGAGAGAGAGAGAGAAAGAAAGAAAGAAAGAAAGAAAGAAAGAAAAAATAATCTCTTTCACTTTCTCACCTCTTATGATTCTAGTGTAGCTTATGTAGAATTTGGCGAGTTTAGCCACCCATCTGTAATGGACCTACCTAAGACCTGAACCTGGAGACCTAGGAGTAGGACTTTTCACCAGAAAAGGTTTAAGGAGTTCAGTGGTGCCTGGATGTGAAGGAGTGAGATTTCAGTCTTCTCCATGAGTCTTCAGCTTTACTTTCTAAACTATTTTCTATTTTCTAACACATTTACATTACTTTCTCTTTCTAGGAGCTAAAATAATGTCTTCCTCAAGGAGACTTGTCTTAGTCAGGGTTTCTATTGCTTCAACCAAACACCATGACTAAAGTAAGCTGGGGAGGAAAGGGTTTATTTGGCGTACACTTCTACTTCTTGTTCATCACTGAAGGAAGTGAGGACAGGAACTCAAACAGAGCGGAAACCTGGAGACAGGAGCTGATGCAGAGACCGTGCAGGGGCACCGCTTACTGGCTTGCTCCCCGTGGTTTGTTCAGCCTGCTTTCTTATAGAACGCAGGACCACCAGCCCAGGGATGGCACCACCTACAGTGGGCTGGGCCCTCCCACATCAATTACTAATTAAGACAATGCCCTACAGCTGGATCTCATGGAGGCATTGCCTCAACTGAGGCCTCTTCCTCTCTGATGACTTCAGATTGCGTTAAGTTGACACAAAACCAGTTACTGTAAGACTCTAACCAATACTTCATTGTATACTAGAATATTCCCATAATGGTCTGCCACCAATGATGGCAAGACACACTGGGAGTGCAAATTTGAGTGCAGTCCCAGTCATTCTTTCCTTGTGGACAATGCATACATACATAGAACTTCAGATGCTGCTGAGTGTGGCGGTGCATCCCTGTCATCTTAGTACTTGCGAGATAGAGCCAAAATGACCAAAACTTCAAGGCCATCCTGATCTATATAGCATCAAGAAAACAACAGAAACAGAGAAAAGAGTTTTCAGATAAATGCAGAATCATAGTAGTTGTTTTAAAAGATGCAGCGTAGTCAAGCTACAAAACAGGATTGGCAGTTAATTATGAATAACA